ATATATATATATTTTTATGAAATGCAGGAGGGCTGAATGCCATTGCGGTTTCCCGGGGCAGATCAAAGGGGAGCACAGCCACATCCCAAACAGGCGGCACGAATCCACGGCCTCGCACTTACAGAATAAACCCAGTGAGACCCCATTAGAGGCTTTACTCATATCGAGGAGGGGGGAAAAACCCCACAAAGGTCAATGCCTACTGCCAAACGTTGGTTTAACTGGGATCTTTCCACTGTGATGCCAAGATATCCCAGCGACGGACCCAGACAGCAACCTGCACGCAGCCCCCGCTGCACGGGACAGGCAAAACCTCCCCCTCGCATCCTCCATCCCTTCTCCAGGCTGCCGCCCTCTCCTCCCTGCTCCTTTCCCAACAGCTTCTTATCCTTCCAGTGTTTGGTGAAAAGAGACTTGCAGGAGGCAATTAAGCTTTCATCTCTAATCCCACTCAGCCCCATCACTCCGGCGTTCGCTCGCTTCCCAAATGGGACATCCCTGACATCCAAATCAAACCCGAAAAACCCTCTCGGTGAGATAGCTTGCTCGCCATCCTGCCACTCCGAGGCTTTGCAGCCCCCCCGGGACCCTGGAAATGACTGGGTAGGGCTGGGTGCTGTCCCTTCTCCTCCCCTTCATCCATCCACACTCACTCAGGGATATCTCCCAAAATAAGCGGAGTCTCGGGACTCTCTCCAGGCTTCGGAGCAGCCAGGGGACTCGACAGGGTCCTTGCACTGGGAAATGCTGCTGGCATGGGGGAAAGCCCCGGCAAACAGCAGCAGCCCCAGTGCATGGGCTCACCTGCAAGTCTTAACAACACCCAGGGTTTTTCCTTGGAGGTTCAGCAACCAAATGAGGCAAATGACGTGAAACTCCCCCCGGATAAACACAGAAATCAAAGGAGGAAAGTGCTACCCTCCCCAGCTCAGAAAAAAAGCCTGAAAGTGGGAATCATGAGCACTGAAGGCATCACTTATGACCCTCCATATGTTTTGGAGGGGTTACCCTAAAGCCCAGTTCCCATAGGGTCAGGACATCCCTAAAATCCTGGTGTTTGCCGGATGTCCTCTGTCACCTGCCTCTGCAGCACATGCCAGGGCTGTTGCTTTAAACCTCCCCCGTTTCCAGCCCAAATCAGAAATCATCCACTACACCAACCACTGTAAAAAAGAGCTTTCCCAAACACACCCACATCCACAAACCAGCCCACGTTTCCCCAAAGCCTTCTCCTGGACCAAAACTCCCATCCCGGGCCAAATTACTCACTGCTTATCAGCTACGAGTTATTTTCATTGTGTGAGCCACGGATGCAGATACTGGCAATGAAGGGAGAAGAGACTTGGCCACAAAAGAGCCGTGCAGCGAGGCTGCCCAGGACAGACCGACAGACAGAGGGATCGAGCACACGGACAGCACCAGGAGATTTCACTAATAGTTACGGTAAAGCTGCTCTATTTGCAGGAAAATGCTAAATTGAAATGAAATGATCCCCCTGGAAGGAAGGGAACTGCCCAGCTTCTGGGGAGAGAAACCCTTCTGCTGGGTCTTCCATCTTCGTGTTAGAGCCCAAAATAGCTGGGATGGAGGACAGGGCTGAGCCCCTGGGTGTGCGGCGGGGGGACAAGCACGTGCTGAGCTCCCACATCAGCAAGGGCAGCCTAAAACTGGCAGGGGTAGGGTGTCTGCAAGTGGGAAAATTGGGTCCCAAATTGGGCATGGAATGCCCCTAGGGAGCCGGCACGGCTTCCGGACCCGAGCGAGCATCCCCGCGCAGTGCTGTGCTGGCAGTCACGCCCGACATGCCTTTGGGCAACATGCCTTTGGGCAAGCCCTGGTCCTGCCAGGGGACCCACCGGTGTCCCTCGGAGCTCCCCCACCCATCCCAATTCCCCCCTGGGCAGCACAGTGGGATCCAGATTAAGCACTGGAGCAGTCAGGCAGGGAGCCGTGGGGCAGCCCCCCCACCCAGCCACCCACCCAGCGTGGCCGCAGCAGCACCTTACGCCAGCTCCTGATCTTCTCTCCAGCAGCGGAGCTGGGGGGGTTAGAGGGCCAGCAGCCGGGGCACGGCTGCAATAATACTCCTGGACTCCAATTGCTTCATAAATCTTCCCAGATTCCCTTTCTCGGACTACGGGAGGTCAATGAGGCTGAATTATCGGAGCTACTGGAGTAGCTTCCAAGCACGCAGTGAATATTTTCTAAGCCAGGAGCAGCAGCAGGTTAAAGAATGAGAGGAAAAGGCAGGTTAAAAGCAGGGCTTGGGGCACGTCTGTACAACCCGCTGTGGGCTTCAGGCTGCGGTAACCAAACACCCTCCTATAAAATCAACAAAGTCCTCAGGGGATTTCAAGGAAATCTATTGTTTCCCTTTTTAAGGTTAAAAAACCCCCCATGCCTGGGCTTTTCAGCTGAGGACAAGGGGCTGGGTTTGAGTGAAGGCTTTAGGAATAGAAGAGGTGATCGATGCTATGTTATTCCGACAGCAAAAGGAGCCTGCAGACAGCAGGGCTATACAGACAGGTCACCGTATATATATATACATTGCTCAGAGGGTGCCTGTAGTTCCCAGGGATGCTGCCCATCGGCAGCGGCGGAGCTGAATCCTGCTCCCACGGGGGTTTCCCCACCAGATTGCTTTGCCTTATGAGATGGGGCAAGGTGATTTTTTCATCATGGGCTGCCCACACCTGGGAGGGGGTCACGGCTGTTTGGGGGGCAAGCAGGGAGTTGTTTTCCAAACAGAAACTCTAGAAGAACAACTACAAATAAAGTGGATACTCCAAAAAAAAAAAAAATCTGGTATAACAGAGAGCTGCACTCGTGGTTTTTGCTTGGAATGGGGAAGGTTTTGCTCCTTTTGGGTGCCTTTGAACACAGGGCCTTGCAGGATGGTGTATTAAATAAATGCTGTCCCATTCCACAGCTGGTGGAGGAATTAGTCTCAGGTTTAGGCTTAAATTTTCATGTGAACCCTCTGCCCCTTTCTGTGCCAGTGTTTGCCTTTAGAGCAGCTCTCCCTGTCTGTTATATCTTAAATTTCATTTTAAAGCCCTCGTTAGAGCAGTTTTGCAAAGCTGATGAACAGGTCTGACGTTTTCCCCCCGTTTTTCAACAAACTGAAGGTGCATCAAAATGCAGGGGTTTGAAGAAAACCCTCAAATCCCTCAAAATACAAAAAACAACCCCTCCAATCCTTTTATTTTCTTCGCTTTTTTTTCCCCCTGAAAACAGCAGATTCCCAAAGAGCTCTAGGGATTATCCCAGGACATAAATCATTTCCCTAACCAGGAGCAGTCAGGGCACCAGCTCACTGGGGACGCAGAATCTGTCCCCTCGCAGAGCGTCCCGCCAAGGCAGCGATGCTGCTCCCCCCTCCTCTCCCCAAAACACCCACCCTGGGGGCATTTGGATCCCCAAAAGGATGAATCCGCTTAAGGCATCCTTCTCTCCTCGTAAAAGCTTGGGGGTGATCTGCCAGCAACGGGGCAGGGGGGGGCGGGCAAAGGAAGAGGCTGAAGTTTGGCTGTGACCCCACAGATCCGTGGGGAAGGGCGTCCGGAGCGAGAGGGAGAAGCAAGCAGCCAGAAAACCGGCAGGAGCCAAGACACAACCGAAGGGCGTAGACTCCTGCCAGGGATCTCCAATCAGCCCTGGGAGGCTTGGCTGCCTGCCGTATAAATGCAGAGCCAGGAGGGTGGGAAGGCAGCGTGCCTCTGGGCAGGGAGAGGAAGAGGAGGATGAGTGCCGGGGTGCTTCCCGCAGGGAGGCAGAGAGCACCCAGCAGCACCCCAGCAGGGATGAGCTGGACCCCGACGGCAGCCCAGCAGACCATGCCCATCTCCTCCAGGCCCCGGACATCCTTCCTCATCCAAGATATCCTCTGGGATGGGGCAGAGCGGGGAGCGCGGCCGGAGAGGGACAAGAGTGGAGGATTTGGCAGCCCGGAGGACAGGGAGCCGGGGGCGGCCACGGAGGAGGGGAGCGAGGGCAGCTCGGCCCCAGGGGCTGCCCCAAGGCACCCCCCCAGGAGCCCTCGTCCCCCAGGAGCATCCCAAGGCCAAGGGACACCCCACGAGGCAGACGCAGGTAAGGGGGTGGAAGCTCCTGGCTGTGCCCCTGGCCGGGGAACGGATCAGCAATGTCTACGCTTGAGGCATCCGAGGGGCAGGATCCAGATCCGGCTGCCTCGAGCATGCCAGAGCCAAATAAGCCGTGCTTTAAATACCAGGGAGTATCTGTGCTTTAGCAGTGGGAAAGTAAGAGAAATAACAGTGTGCAAACCACTTCAGATAACTCAAAGGACCGAATCTGCCTAAAACTCTGTTTAAAGAAAGCCCAGTCGATGGATTTCTGCAAAATATTGGGAAATAGATTCATTATTATAATGCATTTATTAACTTTATGTTAATAAAGTTCCCTTTTGATGCAGAAGGTCCCCAGCAAGGGCACCCCAGGGCTGCCAGCTCAGAGGGGCAGTCTGTGCCCGTCCTTCCCGCAGCCGTCAGCGCGGTGCCGCCGCCGCAGCCCAGCTCCCGGGTGCCTCCAGTTCGGGGATGTTTCAAAAATCCCCGTGTTGAATTTGTGTCGTTTGCAGCAGGGCTCTGCCTTCCCCTTCCCGCCTGTACCACTGCACATCGCGTGGGTTATTAATAATCATCCTGCTCCCCTCGATACGCATCCAGCGCCTCTTTCTAGCATGCAATGGCTGCGTTCATCGCCGGTGGTAACAGCTCACTGCAGAAGCAACATAGCAAAAATCACACTCAAAAGCAAATTATTTTTGACCGGTGCCTCTCTCATCGCACTCACACGAGCACGGCCGGGGCTGCGGGAGGGGACTCAGCCTTTCCTTGCCCAAGCAGTCCTGGCCTGAGCCAAAAAAGCAATTTTGAACTCTCTAGCGACGGGCTCTTGCTTGCTAAGAGAGCCCTTGCCAGGGGAATTTTGGTTTTACAAGTCAATTCTATTAAAAGAAGCTTCTACATAAATGCAAGCTCAGGAACGGCCACCAGGCTGATTATTACGAAAAAACATTAAAAGCCGTTCCCAATCTCCCAGAAAGTGGCTCGTGTAAATCAGCGCAGCTCCAGGGATTTCAGCTGGACAACCATGATTTACACAAGCTGGGAATTAAGCCTCTTGTTTCTATCTTGAGCTTTATGTTCCCTGCTTCAGAAAATATACTAAGAAATTACTAAAGCAAAGAAAAAAAAAAATGACTAAAGGAAAGACAAAAAAATTGGCCTCTTTCCATCCCAAGCTGGGTAATACACAAAAAAGGAACTAACTGCATAAATAAAGCGACTTAAGAAGTTTTAACAGTCATAGGCGATGCTTCCCAGGGAGCTCAGCACCTCTCTGGGTCGTGGCTCGGGCAACCCATCAGTGCCACAAGAAATCAGTGGGCGGCAAACACCGAGATGCTGCTTTGGAGCTGTGAGCCAAGGCCAGGGCTGCAGCTCTACGTGGAAACACAGGCCTGAAGGTTTAAAAATCTGCCCCAAAATTTCTTGGCATGGCCCCGGGGTCGTGAAAGAGAAAAGGGAGGAATTTATTTTCAATGCTTTCTAACGGCAGTCTGCTTCAAGCTGCACTGATTTCCCATCTCTGAGCTGTCCTCTGTAGCTTGAGGATCAAAATTTGGTTTCTCTGGGAACCAGGATTTTCCCGTAGACACAGCAGAGAGGGGGTTTCAAAGAAGTGCCCAACAGTAGGAATTCTGCAATAAAAATCTCAAGAGCTGTAGATGCTGTAACGCACGTAACAGTACCTCGAGGGTTTAGGCAGATCCCCACCAGCACTGCAAAACATCCCTTTCTATATTATTTTAGTGCCTTGAATGCATGTTGATAGTGAATGCACGCTTACATGAAGCAAGAAGCATGATTTTGGGGAGAGAAAACTCACTTATGTGACTCTAAGATGGTATTCGCTCCATTAAATGAAAATATTTCCAAGATAATACGAGTATTTTGCTGTCTGGAAGGGAAAAAACAAGTGATTTGGGCAGTTTCCAAGGGGGTAATTCTCAGCTCTTTCCTCCCGCAGATGCCACGGTGGAGACCTACCTGTCAGACTGTGACCCCCCCCTGCAGCCCCTGCCCATCGCCCAGTGCCCCCCCAAGCAGGCGAAGCGCTCGCGGGCAGCGTTCTCCCACACCCAAGTCATCGAACTGGAGCGGAAATTCAGCCACCAAAAATACCTGTCGGCCCCCGAGCGAGCCCACTTGGCCAAAAACCTGCAGCTCACCGAGACCCAGGTGAAAATCTGGTTCCAGAACAGGAGGTATAAAACCAAGAGGAAACAGGTCGCCTCCGAAATCAGCAGACTGGACACGCAGCCGGCCGGGCCAAAAGCGGCCGAGCTCCCCGGAGCATCGCTGCTCATGCTGCGGGGCGGCTGGCAGTACCTGCCGTGCCTCTACTACTTGAACGGCTGGAGTCCCTTGTGGTGGTAACCACTTTTTTAAGCAGAAAGCAGCCTTTTCTGTTAAGATGTTGGGTTGGTTTTTTTTTTTTTAATACCGCGTCGCTCTTTCTAGCACTAAGTAGGGGAGGGAGAGCTCATTCGCAGTCATGATCAAGCATCTTCTAGTTGCCGCCCAAGCTTCCCTCGTTGCTAACAGTAAAAAAAAAAAATACCCAAAAAAAGGCCAAGGTTTTCTAAGTGTGTCATTCAGCACACTTGGCAGCATTGCTCCAGGGCTGGTCTGCAGCTGGAAAATATTGTGGGCTCTTTTGGGGGTAGAAAGCAAGGGACAGTCCAGCCCCAGAGACAGCGATCGTCCCTCTCTGCCCCTCCTAAATTGCCTGCGCCCCCCTGAAGCCTTTGCTCCTTGCTGAGATCAAGCTGGCAAAAAGCAAACTGCTGACCCCGGGCTGGCACTGATGTGGCCCCAACTTGGCCACTTGGGCCACCAGCTGTGCTACGATCTAAAAATTAGTTTTAAAAAAGGGGAAAAAAAAGCAAAAAAAAGTGCATTTCTGCCATTGATACCTTAATTGCTAAAGGTCCTAGAGGGGATGTAGAGGTCCCCCAGGATTTCTGTGTGCTGTCGGGCAGCACCGCAGCCTCCACCTGGGGCAACGTGCTTTTGGGGAGAATTAAACCCCTTTCTGCCACAAGCGCCAACAACCCGAAGCGCCCGATGGCCGCGGAGCTGCAGCCGGGGACCAGGTTTGCCAGGACGTGTGCGAAGGCGGCCGCCCTGGCCGGGATGGAGCCGCGCCAGCTCGCCCCCACCCAAACCCATCCCCCTGCCCTTCGACGGCCGAGACGCCAACGGCCTCTGCCTTAACAGCCCTGAGAAGCCAAACCAGAAAGCCTCGGAACAGGGACAATAGCGCACTGACAGATGAGTTTTGCATATCCGGGTGTTGCCGCTCTTTGAACCTTCCCGTAGAAGCTCTTTTAAAACAGCAACAGCCCAAAGCGCTCAACGCTCCCCGTCAGCTTTCAAAGCCGCAAACTCCCCGTCCGCAAGTGAAATCAGCTCGATTCCCACCGCCACGGCGTCGGGATAGCAAGAGGACGATGGACGATATCTTTACGAGCGGCTTTTTAGTGAGACGACAACGATTCGCGCTAGCAGAGTAGCAGAGATTTATTTTTTTGGTACCCAATTGTACCTAAAACTTTAGATGCCATTAAGTCTATGGGAGAAAGCGTAGAAATAAATGAGATTTCCAAGAGAGGAAACATCTCAACTGCTGTTTCTCAGCTGGTGTAAATCAGCATAGCTCCACGGGGACATATTTAATCTTCTGAAACAAAAGTACACGGAAGTTTCTTCCCCCTGAACCTCCAGAAATGTTTCTGTGGTGCCTGTTCTTTCTGAAAGAGACTTCAAAAAAATCACAGTGGTCCAATTCCCTCTGGCGGCAGGGAACTGCAGACAACTAGATAGTGTTAAGAAACTGCTTAGACCTGTCCCTTTTAACAAGATTAATTGCAAACTGATCTTTTGCCTTGCCCCTAGGTCCAGATTTTGCAAGCCAACAGGCGTAGCAAAGGCAAAGCTGCTGGGGGTGCGTGGACGGGGGAAAACTCAGGGGTAGGGAGGGCAGGGAGGGGAGAACACAGAAACCGAAACCCTTTGGGGCGGATATTCAGTTGCTCCTCGCTATCGAAGCAGCTTGCCCAATTTGGAGGACAACCAGTTGCTTTCTAGTTGGCTGAAAGTAACCCCTAATATCTTGAGATAACATTTTTTTTCTTCCAGCTCCTGCTCTCGGATGCTGCGTATCCCCCGGCCCGTCCCCTCGCAGCCGGTGCGCGGGCCAGAAGGCCATCTCCCCTCCTCTTTTGCAATGTGTTTCAAACCCAGCCCCACTCCTTATCCACTTTGCACTTTGCTTATCCTCTGCTTGGAGCAACAAAAAAAGAAAAAATAGCCCTTACGGCCTCGAAGCCAAGCCCATTTTGACAGTTCACTCCCCGCAGAGCACGCATCCCTCCTGACGGCATCGCCAGGGGGAGAAAGCCCTGCCAAAATCCCATGGGCTCAGCTGGACCCTTGGGATGCTGCTTAAATCAGTGCAGAGCCACTACATTTGCACTAAATACACTGGACGAGCAGCTCTGGCCGTCCCGGAGCTGCCCCGGATAGGGATCACGGTGCGTCCTTGGCACAGGCAGCGGAAGAGCAGCAGGGCCAGGCACGTAATGCTGAGTTGGGCTGAGAAAATGAGACATAAACTGAACTTCCCAGACATTTCTTTGGGAAAATGGTTGTGTCGTAGCCACTTCTTCTTCCCCACTCGTGGTTTACAAACGGTAAAACATCCTTGTTGCTTCAACACCTCATTCTTAACTTTGCTGGTATAAAGCAAGGCCGGTGCAAATAGTTGCTATTTTTGTACATATTTTTTTGATACTATTTTATCTGATGTGCATTGTCTTTTGGAATAAAGAGCGCAGAGTCTTTATTAAAAATAAGCTGCCTCCGTGGGTTTGTTGCCCTGGGTACGGGTTGTTCTTTTAATCCCTGTTTCTGCCACGAAACGACCGCGACTGTCCCACCAGCACTGGCTTCTCACACAAACACCATTGCAGACACAGCGCTCGGGTGAGTTTTGGGCAAGGAATTGTCCCAAGCACCAGCTCACAAGGTTTCGCAGGTGGTAAATCACTGCTCACCACTGTTTGAAGGTGCTCGGCCCCAAATGCTGCTCCGTCGCTCATCCAGCAGGTACAGAGTACCGCCAAGCATCCCCTAATCCCATTTATTATAGGTACAGAGTACTGCCGAGCATCCTCTAATCCCATTTATTATAGGTACAGAGTACCGCCAAGCATCCCCTAATCCCATTTATTATAGGTACAGAGTACTGCCGAGCACCCCCTAATCCCATTTATTATCTGATGAGCATGGAACAGGTGACTATTTCCCAAAAGTAAGAGCTTATGTAGTGCAGCACTTTCTGTATCACTCCCAAATTACCGGTAACCCCCCAATTTAAGCACAATCCCAGTGGCCTCCCAGGTTTTGCACTACAAGCACTGGTCCCAGGTTTTATTTCTGCCCCTGCCTTCCAGTCCTGCAACCGCGTCAACACAATCAGGGGCAGCACTGGGCTCCGCAGGAAGCCCATAAGAAGAAGAATTCATCCTGGGAGCGGTCAGCGTGGATGTCTCCCCCCCATACGGAGGCGGAGAGGGATCGACCTTGGGTCCCAGCCGGCCCCTGCGCACGCTCCCTCCCCTCTGCTGTTGGCAGCACCAACTTTTCCCGAATGGAAAGCAGGCTGCAATAACTACCATTATTCCCAGCTTAATTTTGGATTCTAGTAGCTTTAAAAAAAAAAAAAAAAAAAAAAAAAAAAAAGCCAAAGCAGGCATCAAGATGGCAAAATAAGATCTCAGGGGAGCTCCTATTGCCTTAGGAGGATGGTGCTGGATCCTCAGCAGCCAAACCCTCAGGCAGATGGAGCTTGCTGTGGCCTTCACCCGGCGATGCCATGGAATGGAACAACAGCTCCCATAGGTGGGTGACCGTTTGTCACAGGCAGTGACAAGCAGCGGTCCCCTGCAGCCAGGGCTGGAGGCTGGGTCTCCTCCCCTTGCACTAATCCTGCCCGCAGCATGGTCCTGCTTCACAGAATCCCAGACTGGCAAAGGTTGGAAGGGACCTCGGGAGCTCACCCAGTGCCACCCCCCTGCCCAAGCAGGCTCACCCAGAGCAGGGGGCACAGGACAGCGTCCAGGCGGGGGTTGAAGATCTCCAGAGAAGGAGACTCCACAGCCCCCCTGGGCAGCCTGGGACAGGGCTCTGGCACCCTCCAAGTCAACAAGTTCTTCCTCACGTTCAACTGGAACCTCTTCTGCTTCAGTTTGTGCCCATGGCCCCTTGTCCTGGCGCTGGGCACCACTGGGAAGAGTCTGGCTCCGTCCTCGGGACCCCCACCCTTGAGATATTTGTAGGTGGGGATGAGATCCCCTCTCAGCCTTCTCTTCTCCAGGCTGAACAAGCCCAGCTCCCTCAGCCTTTCCTCCTAGGGGCACCCTACGTGCCCTCCTCTGGACTCTCTCCAGGAGTTCCTCATCTTTCTTGAACTGGGGAGCCCAGAACTGGACCCAGTGCTCCAGGTGGGTTCTCCCCAGGGCAGAGCAGAGAGGGAGAAGAACCTCCTTCGCCCTGCTGGCCACGCTCCTCTTGATGCACCCTAGGGTGCCATCGGCCTCCATGCTTACAGGGGCTGCCCTGTTTGCAACCCAGACCCCAAAGCTGTTGCACACCAAAGTTTGCTGCAGCGCAGGCACAGCGAAGCGCAGGGTTTTTGCGGCGTGGGCATCTGCCAAAGCAGGTCCTGGGTCCCACCTCGGTACCGGTTGGTGCCAGGGATGCAGGCAGCAGCGCCGGCTCCTTCGCAGCCTCTGCCGTGGGGAAACAGCTCGGCTGCCTCGCCCCTGCTGCGAGCGCTGCCCTCCCTCCTCCCTTTTCTCCGCAACCCCCAAGTGGTTTCTTTATGGACTTCCAGTTGGTTTTTTCTTCTTTTTTTTTTTCCGCCAAGCACAAAGCACGGGGATAAAATAAAAAAGGGCTGTACTGTTTGGATAACCAAATCATCCGAGAGTGTTAAAGCATTCATCATGACAAGGAGAATGCCATGGCAGGCTTTCCCGCTGATAAATACCCCCTTGATTAATAGAGAAAAGAAAAATTCCACCCGAACTGCAGAGATGTGGAGTTTTAATCAGCCTTAACGAAGCAGAACTCCTGTTTGTACGCAACTAGAAACAGAAAGCATCATTTAACGTCTCTCAATTAGTGTCACGCTCCGCCGCTAACATATCCATCACGATTAAATAGTGTCTAACGCTGACATAACATTTACACTTGTTTGTGCCAAATCATTTATTTAAAGCTAAAAAAAAAAAAAAAAAAAAAGAAAAGAAAAGAAAAAAGGCTGCCTTTGGATAATGTAACTGTTGACTAACATTTGCATGCGATAAACCACATACTTGGCAAGGACTCGCAGGACCCGTGCCAAGAAAAATCTTCAACTTGACCTACGCAACATTTGCAAACCAGAGCAGTGGGAACGAGTTCGCTACATGGAGCTAAACAGGGGCTGGAAAATGCAAGGACACCCAAAGTGCCAGGCTGAATCAGGCCGGTGGTTCCCCCCCCCCTCCCCAGTTTTGGCACCCGGTGATTACAAAGATGCTTTGGAGGGGAGCGGAGAAAAACCTTTCAGCGATGAGCGCCAGGATGCATCTTTTGGGATGTGCGGATGCTCTCCAAGGAGGGAGGCAAGCTAAGTCAAAAAGCACAAGGCTTTAGAGCTCTTAAAACCCCTCGAGGCTTTTCAATATTTACTATTCCTATTCTGGATGCTCTGGTCATCCACAGAAATGCTTCATCCCTTTCTAACCCAGCTCACGGCTCGGTGGCAAGGCCGGCCTGCAGCAAGGAGTCCCACAGCCTGTTTTAGGGTGCTGGACCCCGTGGGGGAATGGTTTGAAGCTGCACCAGGGCAGGTTTAGGTTAGATATTAGGAAAAACTTCTTCACTGAAAGGGTTGTCAGGCTCTGGAATGGGCTGCCCAGGGAGGTGGTAGAGTCCCCATCCTTGGAGGTATTTAAAAGAAGGATAGATGAGGTGCTTAGGGATATGGTTTAGTGGTGGGATGGCAGGGTTAGGTTAACGGTTGGACTCGATGATCTTAAAGGGCTTTTCCAACCAAAGCGATTCTATGATTCTATGGTTCTCCCTCCCCCTCCTTGAGCCATCCCAGCAGCAGCGATGCCGAAGGGGGATCAGGGAAGGGCAGGAGAAGCTGAGCAGCACGGTCATCAAGGCAGTTTTTCCCCACAGCTGATGGGGAAAGAAAAGGAAAGGGGAGAAAAAAAAGGGGAAAGAAAAGGAAAGGGGAGGAAAAAAAAGAAAAAGAAAAAAAAGTACTTTGGAGATGTGGCAAAATACAGCTTTCCAGATTGGCGTTCCCATGGGAAACTCCTTCTCTGCCTCTCGCACAAATCCAAGGCACATTCCTCCTCTTTCTTCTGTTATGGTCTGGGCACCATTTATTAAGAACAGCCAAAGGCGGAGAGAAATCTGCAGCACACGGCCCTGGAAGCGCTTCCAAAGCTGTCTGCTTGAGGTAATTTATGGCGGCCCACTCGCAGAAGGGAAAGTCGGGAGATAAGGCAAATATTTTTACAGGAAAAGGAGTTAGGAGCGAGGCATAGAGGGGTGGGTTCTGTGTTGAAATGCTCTGGTCTTGGAAGAAAAAGGAAATGTGGCAAAGAAAAAGGGGTTTGGAGTCAGGTACTGTGTGTCTGCGCAGACGGACTTGGACTTGTTGCTTTGGCCCCCAGCCCAAAATAGGAAAGGGGGGTGGGGGGGGAGAGGGGCACCACGTCTGTCACCCGTGGGTCACTTTGCCACGGCCACGCTGTGAGCCCCCCCAGCAATGCCCTGCCCGGGGCAGGGGGGCGAGCGGCACCGGAGGGAGCGGCGGTGGCTGGGCTCTGCCCCCGGCCACTGCTTGGGGGAGTTTTTTGGCCTTTCCCTCCACTCAGAAAGCTGGCAGGGAGAGCAAGGACATCAGGGAGGCTCCGGCCGCCGGAGCAGGGGGGATCTCTGCAGGGTCAGCGGGGGAGGATGCTCACCGTGCTGTAGCTGTTGGCTTTGCCCAATTCTGTTCCCACTTCAGGGTTTTTCCAGCACGAGGGTTTGCGTTTCTAAGAGATATCAGCCCCGCACGGGCTCCCCAGCTCCTCTTTTCATCCAGAGCCTTTTGGGGCAACCAGATTTCCAGGAAAGCAGCGGAGGGGGGGGGGGTTGAGATTCAAGGTGGTATAACCTCAGAGCAAGGCCAGGACTTGGGGACTTGGCCACGCATAGCCCTGTCGAGCCCTGGGTGCCCAGCCTGAGCCTCCCGGG